CCTCATTCAGTGCACAGCACAAACTAAATGAAGTTGCTGTGTGCAGGACTTCATTCATATCTACTGAAGACTTGGAAATGTGGCAGATGCATGCAGCAGGGAACTGCAGAACAAGAAGGGATGAGCTTAGAGTAACCCAATGCTGCTGTAATGAACTGGCCCTGCCTTTGTGCTCTACTGTGGTACTAAGTCACGGAAAAAGCTTTTTCGCCAATGTGTTCCCACACTGTCTGCTCCTTTTTCAACTGTATATCTAGCCTGAGACAACAGACTGTATCCAATGGCAATAGTTTTGTAATTGTTCTGTGTACATGGCACAAGATGAAATTCCAAGTGCTCTGCAAAATCAGAATGGACACCTCCCCTTAGCTGACCCCTCAGAGTGCCCCGGTGCTCACCCATGTGCCTCAACGTCACATGTGCACACTGGTAATGACAATGCCTCTTCAGCTGGTAGGTGTTATGTGACCACCAACATTTGTAGCTGAGAGACAAGAATGACACTGCAGAAAAGCCTATGAGGGAACGAGCAGTACTGGAGCGCTGGCTGCCAAGTGGGGGCTAGTCATCCCGTGCACTGCGTGCGTGGGGAATGCCGTGGGAAACACAATGCATGACGACGTAGCTAGAAGATGATGGCACAATGTAACTCACAAAGGGAAATGAATTTTTGTTGCAATGGTGACTATAAATATAGCATTTCTTTTCCCCAAGAACTTGACTTTGCACCCTTAACAAGCTTGAGTATAATCTTTCGCCTTCTTCACTGAAGATACACAAACAGCTGTAAAATATTGACCAGATAGCTGCCACAAACTGTTACAGATCAGGAGCAAACTAGCTCCCAAATGATTTGAGTTCATATCCTTTCCATGCATGAAACCGTATTTAGAAAAGCAAATTTTCCTGCACATTAAAGGAAGCTGTTGCATGCGTGTCTATTTTGCATGTGCAAAGGAAAATTTTGCATACACAATGGGTATACATACAAATGGCTTTTGATTACAATGTAAGTATTGCCTTTAGAAAATTGTGTCTCATTAAATAATTCATGTTATCCTCCTAGCAGAAGAAATCTGAAAGTGTCTAGTGAGGAACTAAATTAGTGAAAGTGGGGATTCAAAAAATATTGTCCTCTGTGTTGCAATAGTAACAGTTCATTATTGGTTCATACAGAAAACAAACAAATAGGATGATTTGTAGCTCAGATAAGCCTTGGTTAACACAGCCATACAGGATGTAACGGGAAATGGGAGTGTGCGTTCCCCTGCCTATATACCTCTCCTGACGCAGAGCAGGATGGCTCTGCCACACTAACTCTCACCTGCAGAGGGCAGATGCAGATTTGGATCCACTAACACCAATAAACTGGCTACCAGAGTAGACCACAGCGAGGGGAGGATGCAATAGCTACATCTGGGGAAGAGCTCTAAGAAGTCACTCCAACACAGCCAGTGCAAGAAAGCAGAGAAAAATTTTGAAAATCAGCTGGGCAAACTACAACTGTATTGCAAGGCTCAGGCCAGGTAGTTCTGCCTAATTGACAGTAAGGGTGAGCGTTTTTATAATGTCAGACATTTTGAGAGAATGTATCATTTTATAGAAGGCAGCAAGAAACATGTGAGCTCCAAAATTGTGAATAGTGCTGCTGATAAAAAGCTACTGTTTTTACAGTGCATTCAAATCCATTGCGTGTTGGAGATTTAAATAAAATAGCTGAGCAACTAGAAAATTACATGGAAAAAATAAGGTAATAATGTGAGCGGACTAAATTATTGGAGCTTGGTGGAAACTGTTCTTCTGAGTGTTCTCTTCATTGTCAACTCTGTACAAGATTCCTGTTTGTTCTTGGACTTGTACTGACTGAGACTAGGATATAGGTCTCGGCCTTATTATCTGATAGTTCGTAATGTCTACTACTTGATGACTTTATGAGAAATTACATTTTAAAAAGCTTGATATTAATTTAAAACCTACAAGGTTTTGCTCATTATTTCTGAGACAGCCTATTCAACTCCTAGTCAGCAGCTACAGCAAAGTATGCTGACCCCATTGATAAGGTAATCAATTACGCTGGAACAAAACAAACTAGTAGCTAGAAAGAAAGGAAGCCTATGGTTTTATGCAGAGGCAGAGAAAACAGAGAGAAAGAGCAGTTGGCAAATGACACAGGACAAAACATTTCAGTTCCAGGTTCCAAGAAGATATATTTTAAATTTGTATCAAATATGATTTACAAAAATCAATGTTCTTCTACGCTGGACAGCTTTACTCAGAGTGAATGAAGACAAACCAGGGCATGCATCCAAAGCTGTGCCTCTGTGGGCATGTGGCACTCTGAAACGGAGGTTTACATGCCAGCAACTGTAATTATCCCAACTAGCAATGATTTAGCATTCTGTGATGTCTAGAGCATTAAAAACGCAGACTATACCTTTATATCACAACCATCTAAAATCCAGGTTTAAATTCTGCCTTTAAAGAGACTGCAGCACAGCTTGCTGCTTTGTGCACGTTAGAGAATAAAAGTGATTAATTCCGCCCATCAGTGAAGTTTTCGCTTATGAGTATCGCAAGTCTTTGCTGTGTGCAGCAGAAAAAAAATTAAAATTATTTTTATGCTTATTTCAAATCCTTATTCAAAACCATGTAACAGTGCTAATTACTAAACACTGGGAAAATTGAATAAAATATAAAACGCTGACTTAAAAAAACCAACCACAAACCAAAACACCTTAAACCTAAGTGCATTTACCACATTTTTTAGTGCATTATTTTACACTCCTGAGTTCAGAAAAGATTTTCATGTCAAAATTAATGGAAGAAAGTAATTAGGAAAGAAGTAAATCAAAATGGAAATATATCATGTAATACGAGCTCCCATGATGGGCTGAACATCAGAAAAAAAGAGCAGAATGATCAATTCCTCACCACAAGATAGAGAGACGCAAAGATTGGGTTGGGAAAAAAAAAAAGATTTCCTTTTGGAATGACCACAGCAGGAGCCAGAGGAAGCCTTACACCCAGAGACCTAATGTTGTCTGTTAAGCTAACAAAACTAGTCTGGAAGAAGAAAAAAAAGTAAGACTTCATCTTTTCATCCCCTTCCACTTCACTGCTCATCTCCCTGGTGCTTATCTTGATCCCAGTTTTCTTCTTCTGAGGATATTTTTCCCTCCCTCACCCCCTTTCCTTTCTTGCTTTTTTTGATGCTGACGGGGGAGCAGCATGGGTGCATGATGCCAGCTGCGTCCTAACAGACACCCTGCCTTTTTCATCTGCATTGTCACATTCAGCAATTGCAGAATATACCACAAAGGACCCAGAAGGGGTCGGTGATAGAGATAGTGCTGCAAATTCAGCATGGCCCTCCGAGCCTCGCAGAGGACGGGTACTGTGCACTGTGGCCGGTGTGGGCCAGCCCAAGTGCTTGCCAGTACGTGCTGTCGTACTAAGGGAATCAAAGACCTCAAAAGTGGGACAATGCCTTGTGTCACAGGACAATTTGGAAAGAAAACATGGAAACAGCCTACCTAAGCCAGCCACTTGCTGCCCAATTTGTCACAAGGGTGTAATGCAAAACTTGGTGTGACTGAGGAGTAATGCCCAGTGGGGATTTCTGGAGAACATGCTCTAGGATGCCTCACCACAAGACAATGACAGCGTGGCTATGGGGATCTTGCCAAAGCACAACAGTTGCTCTCTGTACCAAACCACACACTAAACCAATCATGAGAGTACAATACTCACAACAAAGACATATTATTCTTGAATTTATACATGGAAAAATTCTAACGCAATGTATTATTCCTCTGAGGTTTTATGCCGTACTCTTCTCTCAGTTACACTGCAGCAGACCTGCCCTGCACAACTCAGACTGCAATTTGAACAGTAACTTTTACGCTAACATCACATAAGAAACAATCAGCAATGGCTTATCATCTTGGGAGAGTAAGTACAACTACAGGCTGTCTGTAAGCTCTAGGGGTAGTGTGAGAATGATCTCACCACACACCTCAGTCCTGCACACTGTCACCCCTGGAGGACAAAACACTCTGGGGGTAGGACTCCATCCATAGGAAAGGTGTCACAAGGTTCATAGAGCTGAATGAAGTGCAGCTAAAATACAGACTGTCAGGTATAGCTCTATGTTAGGCTGTAATTAACTGCATTTTCTAGTGTTCTTGTTATCTTAAAAAAGCATCTTGAATAATTACACAATTAAAAGGAATAAAATCACATATTCTTGGTCAACTTAGTTTGTTGTATCATCGAGCAATTTACCTCGTTCTATCTACTAATGGCATGTTTAGAAATAAGAAAAATCTGAATTTTAACCTTGAAATATGAACCCTACAAACCCGTATTTCAGTGTATGCATTGTAAGCCCACACTAGGGAATACTTTCAGAAATAAAAATAAACTTCCAAACTTTGAATGCACTTTAAGGGTCAAAAAGCAATGGGAACAAATGCATTATTTAATCATAAAAACCACACTTGATTCAGTGTAAGGCTGAGGAGGAAGCTCAGGCTCCCAGAGGCAAGTGAAGTGAGGACTGCTTTGAGGGGTTGCTGAAAAAAAGGGCTGGAGCTGGGCTTTCCCTCAGCCCTGCCTCTGCCTGGGAGAGGTGGGGAGGTCAAAGAGCTGGAGAAGACAGGTAGCTCTTAATAAGAATGAGCTGCCATTTTCTCAGTGAAACAGAGAGGAAAAATGGTGGGGAACTTATTGCTTACAAAAAATAAAGCCATTATTCAAAACTGAGAAGAGGGGCTACTCACACATTGCTTGAACTCCATGATAAAATTCTTATCCTTTTTAATGGCACATTGTTAGCAGCTACACCTTTATTACAGTCTCTGTGTTTCTCCTTCATCCTCATTAAGGGTTAGGTCCATTTCTTACTTGACTGGCACAGGCTCTGCTCTCATTACCTTGACTCAAAGCTAACAGAACTTTTAAAAGATGCTCACAATAGTCACCAGCTATGTTATGCTTACCCTGAGGTAGTTGAGAGTGAAGTTTGTCAGACCCATTCGAGTGATGTTTTTGGACAGCTGCTCCAGCACCTGAGGGTCTTGTGCCTAAACAACAGAGGAAAAAAGAATTTTCACTTTGCTTTTTGTCTATTTTTTTTTCTCTATGTGCTTGGTGGAGGGCAAGGAGGGTTCTCTGAGAAGAAGTGCCACTCCTGTGGAAAAAGTGCCAGTTGATGCTAAATTTATGTAATAAGCTACAGACTTCTGTTTGCATAGGAAAATGTAAAACATTATGAAATTGGAGCAGAATAGACTGTTTTCCAATATCTTCCTTCTGTCCCTGCCCAATCAAAAGATAGGCCTAGGTGGTCCAGTCATGCAAGTGAGCAGGACCCCACCAAAGTGCTTCCTGAGGGGTCACAGTATACTTTGACCCTTCCATTTGTTGGCTAGAAGTCCCAGGAGACTAAGCAGATATAGACAGGAATAAAGAAGGTATCACTTTCTTTTGGTGGATAAGAAACTGAAGCAGAGAAAACTCATCAAGGCACCTTCAGCAGAGCTGATCACGTAAGTGGCATTAAGCACAGGCTGGAGAACCCTTCTGGTCTGAGTTATTTTCCCAGAATTAACAGGAAAAATGCAAGTGCAGTCCTTCTCTGACCCTAGCCAGGAGCTTTACCTGTGATACCAGCCTCCTCTTTAAAATTAGATCAATCTCATTACTAAAATTAATACCTGCTGGTTGCTGGCTAACCTGCTTCCACGCTCTTTGAATTGCAGCAGCCCCCTAAATACATAGTGTCGCTCATAGCCATCCTCATTGTCTCTTAATGGGATACTGTTGAAGCGTTCAGAAGATCAGCCCTCTATAATAAAAGATAACCCTGGGACAGAAATGTTGGGGCAGGTTTTCAGAGGTATTTTCTTCAGGTCTCTAATAGCATTTTCAAAAAAGTCCAGGCTTTTAAAGTCACTTAAAATTCCTCAGTAAGAATATATCTTTATCTATGGATATCTAAGTAATTCTATGTCAAAATACAGGCACATATTTGAGCCTGTGTTCTTACCCTCAATAAAGCCATAGTCCTACAATTAATTTTGTATATCGAGCACTACTAGTCTGAATGCTTCTACAATGCAGAACTGAAAGTGGCAATAAGAGTCTGCTCTTTGTTTCTCCGCAACGATTTGCCTTATAATATTTTTACTTCAACTTGCAGAATATTTAATATTTTAATGTTCTGTTGTGTACGTTTTCATTCAATTACAAAAGAAAAGTCTTGAAATATGAAAAAAAGAAAGAACTGGATTAAAATTCTAAAGGCTTCTAAGTAAATATATGATACGTATTTTCTGTATCATGCAAAGGTAACATTAGATTGCTTCATTTAAAGACTAAATATAATTCGTACCTACAATGATGAAAATTCACTGACTAGTAGTTCATGTCAATAAGAACCAATTTTGGGCCCTAATCATACAGACCACCAGTTGGGATTAAAAGGAAAACTATGTGCTAAACCAAAATGAAAACATAGCAACAGTGGCAACAATAGAGCACTGAGAAACAAAGGAGTGATGAAAGAACTTGTAAATGGACTTAGTTGCAGGCAAAACAAAATATAGTTAATTGCCTTGGGTGTGAAATTTGCTGGAGTTCTTCATAAACCTAATCTCTTCTCTTTGCATTAGGTCAAGTGAAAAAAGGATTACTTACATGCATGGCTAGAATGCTGCGTGGGACTAATTCTCTGTACTGTCTAATAGTAAAGTGCCATGTTTTTATTCTCATAAGATCATCAAAAGTAAACTCCAAGATAAGACGTCCTTCTGTGCATACCTAGAATACATAAATGCATGAAATAAATTCCCAGGAATTTTGTTTTCAATGGTATTGTATCATCGATTAAACAACATTCAAAAATATCAGTGCAGTATTCTGTTGTTCATCTCTGCTAGACTAATTGTTTTTCGTTCTCTTGGGGAGAAAAAATGAATGTGGGAAAACGACTTCATAGGCCTTACTGTGGAGACAGTAACTTATAATACTATAGATTTTATAGCATTTTACAAACACATAATATTGTTTGTGCTAAATCTTATTTATTGCATCAATTCTCTTCCCCTCACAGTTCAGTACTGCTAATTAATGACTGAACCTTGCAGTGGAGGTGGCTGTGGTGCAACTGCACACACTTGATGTCAAGTTGCTGAACCAGTCATTCCCAATCTGTTTTATGTTGCCCTTTCCTTACAATAGCTTGGCATTTAAACCTTCCTTTCATGTCCAGTTGGAGTACACAATGCCCTGAATGCCTGTGGCCAAACCTGATTTTTTTCCTATTTTTTCCTTCTTGTCTTTTCCAAGTGTTTCTTTTCCAGACATGCTATCCCATTTTTATTTTTCTTCCATTTCTTATGTACTTTTATTAAGCCACCCTTCCAAGCAAAGCCAGATGGGGTGTCTGCCATTGGTCTGTATGGGGTGCATTGCCATGGCAGGTTTAAGGGCCAGGGGAGCAGGAGAGAGGTTGCAGTCATGGACAGTAGAGCTGCTTCCACAGAATGTGGCTCATGCAGCTTTGTGATCGGTCTTGTCTAAGAAAGGAAAGAAAATATGGGAGGAATAAATGCAGCAAGTGGGTACTACCCAGAAATAAAAAATAAAGTAAATTACTGGAGACTTTTAAACAACTATTCACAACTTTATGTGGAAAAAATGCTGTGGCTGTGGTTGCCTTTAAAGTGCAAAAGGTATGCCCAGCATGGTATCTTGACTAGGGGTACCATGGAGTAATGTAAATGATGCCTGATCGGAAAATGAACTATCTCTGTCATTGATTTATTTTTAAACTGGGTGTTTAGACTTACAACTCCTGTTCAAAGTAAACTTGCAAGTGCAGAGTACAGAGACACTGTGGAAACAGGGTGCAAGAGCTTTCGAAAGAAAAGGTTCCTGCAACTTTAATACAACTAATATTTGATTGAACAACTAGCCATCCTAGATTCAGTTGAGTCTGTTGAGCCTTTTTACAAGCCCCAACTCAGCCTTGGCTAGCTCCCACTTGGGCAATGCATGGTTTTTCTGGTTAACAGTTCACTTAACATCAGCATAGTTTTTCCTCCTGGTTGTTTCTGCAAAAATACGTAGGTAAGTTTAACAGGCATACTATACAGACAAATTACTGTAGACCTATGAAGGAGAATCTTGCAACAGGTTCTCATCTGCCCTTTTCAACACACCTTAGTGATGCCTTCAGACTTTTAGTGTGACTTATTTTGTCATTTGACCCTGATTTTGATCTAACGTCACTTGCACTATCATGAGAAATTACACAGGGCTACACATGCATACACATAAGGACTCATACAAAAAGAAAAACATTTTATATTAATGTTACTGTGTTGAGGCCAAAGCTCCTGATTACTGACCAGTTAACATGAAAATATTTCATGTTTAAAATATTTTTTTATAATACCTGTGGCTTCTCAAATGTTTCTTCTCTTAAGCTCAAAACTCCACAGCTCTTAGAGATATATTTTGTGCACTGGCATTAACAAATTTTAATAGAAAAACTGAAACACATTCCTCATATCACAGTGGTAAAAATTTATACATCTTATAAAGGAATTTAATTTCCATATGTGGAGCAGAATTTTACACATTGCTTTTATCAATAAAATTGGCACCGTTCTTATTTTAAATGGGCTTCTTTTTTTTTTTTTTTTTTTTGTAGAGCTGCCTTTTACATAGAATCCAAAAAATCAAAAGGGTCTCCAATTAAGAAAACATTTTCTGTTGTGCTGAATTCATGTTACCGTACTGTGAGCTCTGACATTTTGTTTCTGTGGTAACCAAAATCAGCTGATTAGTTGGCATGGCAACAGAAAAGATGTAATCCCAGCAGACACACTCTAATCAATGCCCCCAGCACAGATGGTCTCCGGAGGATCAACAAGAAAGAGGCTGGCAGGCATTCAGTATATCACGTGGTTGCTCTAGACTAGGCCAGGAAAAAACTAAAAAAGAACATTTCTCAAACTAACCAATAGCTTTTTTAACCCCTTCACTGCACTTACTAATTGTAGAAAATTCAGCTGCTTGCACCTATGAAAACCAACTTTGGTCCTGTGCCTTACTGCTCAGGGTCTTGCTGTCCTGACACTAGACATATTTTAGAAGTCTTCCCCTTTTATTAAGTACTATTTCTCAAACCTGAGTCGTCGCTTTAAAAGAAACCTAAAGCTTATACAAATCTGGGAAAAGACTGAGATTGTTAGTAAGGATTAACATCACTGAGTTTCAAGGGCTTCACCTATAAAATCCAGCTGATGGCCTCATGGTTGAACACAGGAAGAGAACGGTTCAAACGTGAGGTGCTCACTGCTCTAGTGGTGAAGGCAAAGCTCGCCTCTGCCAATCTATTGGGAAATATAAACATCGCCAACTGCAGAAAAACCGTTTGCTTACACATAAAGTTGGAGTGTTGGTAAACACAGTGAAAACCGAGACTTAGAAGAACTCCTAAAGCTTTCTTTTACCCAGAGAAAAAAATGAAGCATCTGCCAGGTAAACAAACATGGTAGTCAGGGCTTCAGTCTCTTCTTGTACCATATGCAATTCATGCCATTGAAGTGTATTAAATTCTTTAAAGTGTTTATTTATACCTTGATAAAACAATTTTTAAGTGTGTGACACTTTACAAGGACCCCTTGCCCTCTAAAGACGAGCTGGACTATTCATGCTTTTACTGTTAGGCATGTTCTATCCATATTTGTTTGAAAAAAAATTGGAAATGCCATTTCATATATTCGTCCAATACTGCAGTATGCAGCGAGTTGCTCTAACTAGGAAAATGTTGAGATGAATAAAATGCAGTGGTGGATTCCTGATTCAATACAAGATGAGAACTGTTTCAGCCCATCGTAAGAGAAGTCAGTGAATTTGCAGCTTATAAGTTGTTCGTAAAAATGAAACAGCTATTAACAAATACAGTTATTTTGTACTTCTACATTAAAAAAATCCCTTCATGGTAGTTTCACTGGGTCAAAATCACACATGATCTAAGGCGCCACACAGTCCATGGGAGTGCAGCCTGTTATGGGAGGTCTGCTTCGTTCCACCACCAATGCTGTGAGAGTAGGAGTTTACCTTTGGGTACAAGATCTGTGCCCTCAGTATCTCTGCTAGAAGTTACACATGCACATTCGGCTCTAACTTATTTCTGAGAGAGTAATATATTATTTTCTCCCTTATTCCACCAACTACTGTGTTTTATTTCAAATTTGCTCTTATAGTACAGTCATATTTTAAACGTCCATCTATCAAAATCCCCTAATTTTTCTCTTAGAATCCAAATCACATCCCCACCTGAACTTTTCTACCAGGATACAGTGGTTTATATTGGAATCTGCAACAGAAACATCAGGGCTGAGCAGGCTGTGTGCTGCCAGGGCTGCAGCAGACAGAGACTCACTGCGCACCACAGGACAGTGCTATGGGAGGCGACTGTGGCCCCCCACCACCATGAGGTGTGCACCCAGCTTGGTCCCTGCTGCTAGTCTGTCTTTGACTTGCTGAATACTGGCCTTCTTTCCAAAGTAACACCATACTGTGCTGCTATGATAAGTAAAATAAATAATTGAACTGAGAAAAGCATGTTATATTTACTGAATAAAAACCCCAAACCCTTTAATTTGCTATTGCATTAAAGCTGATACAAAAAGAAACGATACAGAAATCACTTTAGGGAGCTTCACAGAAAGCAGCTACTGTATATCCTAGTCATGTCCCCTGCACATGGCCAGCATGCACAACTCCTTGTGAGCATTGAGGTGGCAAAGAGGTGCTACCTAGGAATATCTGGTCTCTGCATCTCTCTCTGTGTCTGTTTAAACAAACACCTCCCAGCTCACAGACCAGCGGCTTCCTCGCCCTCTTCTTTGAGCCCCATTCCAAGAGCCATGAAGGCGGCAGGGAAGACCCTAAGAAGGGATGGGGACTCACATATGTGCTAAAATAGTGTAAGCCATGTGGGCCCTGGTCACGATGCTCTCAATAGCCAGTGCCTTTTTTGACTCTAAAACCTCCACAGCCCTGCAGACCACCGGCAACATGGATGGGTTATCTCTTCCTGCTGCCCCTTCTCATTTTGTACTTTTCTCCATGCAAAGGTTAAAATTCATAGAATCATAGAATGATAGAGTGGTTTGGGTTGGAAGGGACCTTTAAAGCCCATCTAGTCCAACCCCCCTGGAGTGAGCAGGGACATCTTTAGCAAGATCAGGTTGCTCAGAGCTCCGTCCAGCTTGACCTTGAATGTTTCCTGGGATGTGGCATCTACCACCTCTCTGGGCAACCTGTTCCAGTGCCTCACCACACTCATTGTAAAAAATGTCTTCCTTACATCTAGTCTAAACCTACTCTCTTTCAGTTTGAAACCATTACCCCTCATCCTATTGCTACCCTCCCTAATAAAGAGTCCCTCTCCATCTTTAGTACTCCCTTGAAGGACTGGAAGGCCACTATAATGTCTCTCCGCAGTCTTCTCTTCTACAGGCTGAACAACCCCAACCCTCTCAGCCTGTCCTCATAGAGGAGCTGCTCCAGCCCCCAATCATTTTTGTGGCACTCCTCTGGACTCGCTCCACCAGGTATACAGATTCATACAATTCATACAGATGAACAGGTACAAGATTGAAAATCATCATTTGCTGTTAATTTATGAAAGGGGACGTTTCCATTTTGGAAATCAGTTTACTGATTTTTTTTGTTTTCTCTGTATTTTTCATCTTTTTGATACTGTTTTTTATAAATATATAGCACTCAGTTTAATTACAGGACTAGAAGCGGACAATACATGAAGATTATTCACTATCAATTAGAAATATTGAATATTCACTAACTGCCTGATCCAGAGCATGTTTAAATCAATTGACTCCTTCCATTGACTTCCCTGCCCTTCACTGGCATCCTACTGTATTAAATCACTATTTTCCTGGAGATTTATAGTCCTTGGACTGGCTAAGTATCAAATGTAACACATACCAACCTAAATGGTAGGTACCAGCAACGTGGAATCTCATTGTTGCTTTAAAATCAAGCCCAGAGAAAAGAAGATGGGCAGGCTGAATTTAATTCACATACACCTGATGGTTCTGGCAACCTGGCATTATGTGCTTCTCTTGCAATCTTTCTGGGGGACTTGCAAAGGATGGCCACAGAATTTTCCAGTCACGTAATGAATATAGAAAATAGTAATTAAATGGCTTCAAGGGTTTTCAGTATCAGAAATAATCTCAGTCTACCAGAAAAATGCAACAGCCAATATTTTTCACCCTTATACACACTGAAAAAGAAAAACAAAAACCAACAACATGCTTTATTGAGTCTTCCCTGTTACCTTGGTAAACATGGGTTTTCCATGCTGAGTGACCATGGTGCATTGATCACAGTCCACTGTGATGGATGAGTTGTGGTATGACTCTTTTGAGTGCTTGAGAATGTAATACAGGTCTGTTACACCTCCTTCAAAGACAGTGCTAAAATAACGAGGAATGAGGGTCCTTCCAATTGCTGTGAGGAAAATACAAAGCAGAATTCAGCAAATGCTCCAGGTTATAAAATCTCAAACCATTTGCTAACAGAACATGAATAATTTTAATTGCAATGAAATCAAACTTTCATTTAACGAATATAATACATGTTCTCTGCTGTAGAAACGAAGTTGCGCCTGCTCCCATTGAAATCAATGAAAATGGCTTATTCCATTCAGAGGGAGTGGGCTCATCTTATTTAATCTTTTTACACTGATGGTGAGTTAGAGTCACTCTTGAAACCATCTGCAAGGTTTTTTGTCCCAAAGTAATTATTATACAGAAAGCCACATGGTGCCAATTATGACTGAAAGTTGGATATTACTCATAAATATATAAATACAAGTGGTGAGCATTTACAGAAATACACAGCCAAAAATGCAAAGTATATTTATATAGGGGGGCTGTGTACACATATATGTTTGACTGTATGTGGGCATATGTGTATTTATATATACCCACCCACACATACACACATGCACACACTCTTGAATAAACAGGAGGGCCATTGCTAAGAAATCAGAGTCCTGGGGGTTGAAGAAGGACCTGAGAATGCAATATGATGTAAGTTACACAATATATGACTACCCACAGGTCTATGTGAGATCTCTCTTTAGACCAAAAGTATTTATGTCACAGGCTAGAAAGTCTGAGCAGACGCCTGAACTAGCTTATATGCACCACTTAAACCCCAAACTATGGACTCAAGGTCCGCAATACTTACTCAGGCAAAACTCCCACTGAAGTCGCACCTCTTACTTCAGTAGCAGTTTCAGGTAAGCACTACAAGGTCTAATCCCAAATATGTAATAGTAATAGTGAGATTCTGAGTGTACTTCAGATGCACAGAGTAGCAGAAGCACTGACATCAAAGGCAATTGTCTCATATGCAACTGATTCTTTTTCATCTCCTTTTTTACAGATAAATTTGGATGCAACCACAAGCCTGGTATGACAGAACACTTCAGTTTATAATAGACCGATACTTCCATACCGAATGACTCATTGCTTTGCATGCATTAATCAATCCACAGTAATTCTCAGTGGTGGATACATAAAAATTGCCTCCATTTTACAGAGGGAAAAATCAAACTGTCTAAACAGTGTTTTGGAAGAATGAAATAGAACAGTCACCATCAACAGGCAGGATTAGACTTTATTCCAATTTCTTATCCGTCTATTAGGACTGTGTGGTGACTCATGCCTCCCTCATTTGCTGTATGCTTTTGGGAGTAATTTCTAAAAAAATTATTTTCGTAGGAATTTTGCCAGCATACAAACAAAGGCTCCTGACCCTAAAAATGTATTTGCAAGTGGGTGTTGTAAATTAAAAAGTAAGGCGTTTTCACAGTAGTTCTGTGAAAACTGTTTCTGCCCTGTGCATTACAATATGGAATATTGCATGTGCAGTCATAACGCATATTATATAATGAAAATATACAAATAGAGAAAATTAGGACTTGTTAAAGCTTTTGCTGTAATATTAGATATTAATGTAATTTAATGTACAAAAATATACCACACTTTCTGGTAGTGGCTGACAATTCAATGAACATGTTGAATGACTGTTCTACGACTCCAGCTCCTAAAAAACCCTCACCCACTCACTATGCATATATTAATTTTCTACAGTCTTTTAATTTAATCTAGAAAAACTGAAGTCCAGTGTATCAGGATAGGACTCAACTCAGGCTTTAACTAAAATTTCTCCATATTCGTATGTTATGTAGTAAAACGTGAAATTTACCCATCAAGTTAATTTCTTGCTCCCCTAAGGCTAATTAGTGCAAATTAAATTTCCTGCTAATCATCCTAAGCAGCAAATGTGTGATATGAAAATCCAGCATTCCTACTGATTGTGATAAACCTCTATTCACGTGACTTATGCACTGTACAAATATCTTGAAACTATTTTAGCTGCAGAAGACTGAAGCAGGTTCAAGGCTTTGTTTCTCTTCCCGAAGCACTCAATGGCTTAAAAAGATCATTTAATTTCTAGGATAAATATGAAACTATATGCAGTGGTAACACAGCTTATTTGTGCAGGAGACGGTATTTCCAAGAACAACAAAAGTCTGTGGAACAGCTCTTATAAAGTCTAGGGATCATCACAAACTTTGCACATTTTAAGTGCAAAGGACTTTTCCTTGATTTTTTTCTCCTCCAAAACATAATTGTGTCTGAGTATTCAAGCATATATGTGCGTGCACCCCAGCTCTGCTGTGTGCATACGTATGATCCTTTGCTGGGCATAAGAATATAAACGTGGCAAACATGCTTTTCCTTCCCTCCTTCTTGCAGTAGATGGACACGCTCAAGTGTGGATGTACACGCTCTACCTGTGTCTGCCACTGAATATCTCAACAGGATTTTAGCAACAACTTGATATCTCTGCCAGAGTGAGCTGAAAGCTACTTCCTAGGAGAACTCCACATAATGTGAAGGCAGGATTGTGGGACAACTTGATACCTGTGGCCACTTCAGGATGTAGTTTAGCCATTCTTATGCCAGTAATGTGAACTCACACCTTGCAGAGCACAGACCAAGCTGTATGCTACCTTGGCCTTGGGTTTGAATTCCCCGGAGGCAGTCACAGACAACAATGGACTGTATAGTGTAAATAGCATATGGTGTAATATCTAACCACACCAACAGGGTTGAGCGAAGCTTTATGTGCTGCTGCCATTGGAATTCCTTCATGTTTAGGAGCTTGGCTTTTAGTCCAACAATACACATTTAAGAATGTAACTCTGTGCCCCGTTTTGCAGGGCTCCTCCCTCCCACACCACACTTCCCTAACGGAGCAGCATATGGACACCCTCAGAGCCAGGGCACAGATCTTTGCCACAGGAGCTCCGAGCGCAAGAGTTTGCAATAGTAGTTTGAGTATGGGGCGTCTTTTTAATTTCCTTTCATGATGACAGAGCCCTGAGAGTACCCTGAGAGCACCCCTGCTTCCGGGTTGGGCTGCTAGACAGATTTTCCTTCCAGCTTCTCAGGGGAATCTGTGCCCAGCTACTGCAAGGCTTTCTGCCTACATCCTCATGGAGTTCCCTGCAACAAGATCTCCTTCCAGTCCTGTCTCCTGTCCAATTATTGCACTTTATTCTTTCTCCAATCTCTTTGCTTATCTACCCTCACAGTCCAATCCCTTGTTTTCTCACCTTACAGTTGGTTGCATTGCTTCACTGTTCAGCTCTCAGTATCTCTCTGTCTTCTCTTCTCTCCCCCTCCTCACATGCTGCCTCTTTTTCTCTTGCTGAAGGAGGCTCATTAACCCTTGCCAAATCCACCCAATTTCTTCATTCTCCTTACTTAAGTAGGCCAAACCATCTAGTCTCAGCCTCCTTGTTCTCCTCCACTCTCCCCAAAACACCAGATTCACACACACTTTCTCGGGGCCCTTCCTACCCAGCCAGGCTGCCCCAGCTCCCTGCCTCTGTAGTCTAAGCCCTCTTTCTAGATCTTGATTTTGTATTTTTTTTCCCCAAGATTCTCTCTCTGCCCTTTTCCCCACTCTGCCTCCTAGCAGCAGATTGTTTCTCCAAATGAACCCCATCTTTCCTTCCTTCCTTCCTTCCTTCCTTCAGCTTCTCATCCAGCCAGGGATCAGGCAAGAGGACCTCTTCCCTCTGTTCCCCCTATCCAGCCAAACATCTCCCTGTTCTCCGTTTTTTTCTCATTGACTTCTAACTCTCCCTTACTTAATCATTCTCCATCTTCTCATTTCACCTCCCAGTTACTATTTCTCTCCTCCCTCTCACATCAATGTCATCTTGCCCTGATTTTTTCCCTTCTCTTTTTTTCCTCCTCTTCCCTCTTCTTTCCTCCACATTCAGGTCAAGTTGCTTCCTTCGGAGGGCCACCTGGATCCCGGCCACATCCACCAGCAGTGCAGAAGAAGGAAGGGCTTCCTGCTCTCATGTTCAGCATCAGCTGAGCCTTCCCTGTGGGCTTTGCAGTGGAAATGTCCACAACTCCACATAACTCTGAGCTGCAACATATCTAGTTATTCTTTGCAGTTGGCATGCGGATAGCCCCACTGGGCCCCTACAAGGAGCCTTACTAGGTTCCTGGGAAAGGGAGTCCTTGGAAATTTTAGCTGTCAAACTCTAGTAAAGCCTGCAGTGAGTCCTTGAGAATGGGTGCTTTTTTCCCCCCCCCAAAGATTCATAAATTTGCTAAATTCAGTCAGACTTCCACAAAGAGGACAAAGGGAAACCCCTACCACAAAGGTGAGGAACCCTACCTAGTCCAGAGCATATAGGTTCTCGGACATTTAAAAAACAAAATTGCAAGACTTTTGTAACATGGACAAAACAGTATTTTTCCATTTTTGGGGAAAGAAGAAATCCTTTTTGGCTGAAATAAAAAAGAACTAGCTAAGAGCAAAAACAATTTCAGCCTTATTGGGTCAAGTTTGGCAAAATTACAAATAAGTAGAAAGAAGGCCTTTTAATGGGACTTATCAAACAATATTAATAATAGATACTGTATCTAACACATTAGAATATCCATGACTGCAGGTGCTGAGGCTCTGAGCCTGATACTTGGGCTTAGGAAAGCAGACATAGATTCATATCTGCATCTATACAAATACTAACAGGCTCTCACAGTCACATTGCACAGAAAAGACCTTTTTATAGCGTGAAATGTGACACCCTGCTTTGTAAGGTACTGGATATACTAGAAGGAGAATTGACCTGCCCCTCAGTATTCAGGAATTAATTCCAGATCACTGGAATTCTGCTTTAAGTTATCATTTTGTCCTGGGCAGCATCCTTCATCCCTAGCTGAGTATTTGAGGATGTACTCTTTCCCAAGAGAAGCAGGCACTGCCCCTTAACGTTTGCTTCATTTCTGCTAGCAAACACCCACATAGCAAAGCAAACTGACAAAGATTTAGCAACAGGTAATAGTTATTTATATGAAAATGTCTGTAAGAAAGGCATATCTGAAGTGACAATTTTGCACAAAATC